TTTTCCCTTTTATTTTTGTGAATGTGAATTGTTATAGGTTTTAATTGTATATTTATTTATTTATTGTTTTAACGTGTTGTGAGCTGCCCAGAGTCCCCCATTGGGGCGAGATGGGCAGGGGACAAATTTAATTAATTAAATAAATAAATAAATAAATAATGCTAACATATGAAAAAGGAAATCCTAATCAGTCTTCCTGTACTTTTTTGTTCCCTTAGAGGCAGGTAAAAGGAAACGGAAGCGAAGCAGAAGCAGATCCTCCTCCATCTCTTCCTCTACATCTTCTAATTCTTCAACATCTTCCTCTTCAAGGTCTTCTTCCAGGTCTTCTGCCTCACATAGCAGAAGCAGTTCAAGTAGCAGAGGTAGGATTACTTTGTTACAGTTATGAAATTTATTTTGTAGATGGTGCCTCTAGATGTTATATAGCCAATACAAATGTTGACCTAGAAGTAAATACAGGTAGTCCTCGCTTAATGTCCATTCATTCAGCGACCGTTTGAAGTTACAATGGCATTGAAAAAATGGACTTGTGACCAGTACGCGAAGTTCAGCCATCGCAGCTCCCCCGTGGCCACAGGAACCAAATTCAGACCCACCCACATTTACAGTTGCCCCCTTGCTGCCCCCGCCCCCTAACCCTAGCTGACTGTCATTGTCTTTGCCTGCCACCCCTCCTCTGGGCTCACCATCCTGGCCACGCCTGGGGGAGGCGCTGTGGAAACATCCCACAGGCTGGCAGGTGAGAGCTACAGGCAGGCAGATGTGCACTGCATATCTTTTGTGCCAGCATATATGGGGCCTTCTTTCGGATGCCAGCCAGGGCCTTCTTCTGTGAAAGAAGGCCAGCACGAAAGAAGATCCTGGCTGGCTCACAAAGGAAGATCCCAGATGGTGCACAAAAGAAGATTCCAGTTGGTGCGCAAAAGAAGGACCTGGCCAGTAGCAATGCGCACTGCAGTGGGCACAGCAGCAGGCGGCAGCAGGTAGGCGGACAGCCAAAAGGGCAGAGGTGGGGGAAGATAGGTGTGTGTGGGGATTTGAAGTGGAGGCAGTCCCTTACCTTCTTTCAAGAATGGCTTGGATCCAGGTGGGTCCTCGCCTAATGATCGCGTGGGATTCACTCAACAACAGCAACTGGGTCTGCCAGAACTGCTGTTGCTAAGCAGAGCAATCGCTTGATGTTTCGCTTAACAACCACGTCGTTTAGTGACAGAATTGCTGGTCCCCATTAAGGTGGTTAAGTGAGGACTACCTATAATGGATTTTGCATAATACATTATATTCAGAAGCAGAAATATTATAGAAATGAAATATAAATATTTGTTGTAATGAAATAATGCCAATGTATTGATGTTTACTGGTGAGTACAGAAAATCAACTAATATGGTGGGCTTATGTAATTCATCTGGTGTTGCTGCTGGCGATGGCCATTTATTTCAAATGGACTTTGGGGGAAATATCAGCTAACCCTCATTGACGTAAGCAACAGCTTCCAAGATTGTACCCTCAAGGATTAATAATCCAAGCCTTTACCCTGGGATAGTAAATGCTTTTAATTGTGTGAAACAGTTTAAACAAATCCATTCTCAGATTGTTATCTGAGAGTGAATTTCATGGTAAGATGTAGTTCTTTAGCTGGCTGTCAGTGACAGAGTTGGGGAATATCTGAATATGCAGTCCACTCCTCCACACAGCACATAAAGTACCAAAATTATTGTTTATTTTTTAAGTTTACATCATCTCTCCCCTTCAGGAGCTTGGGGCAATGCACATAATACTTCCTTCTGTAATTTTTCCCACAAGAAATCTATGAGGTACGGTAGACTTAAGAATAATGACTGGCCAAATGTCACCAGTTAAGTTTCCATAGTTGAGTGAGGACTTGAATCTGGATCTCCCCACTTCTGGCCCTCCATATTAACCATTATGTTACACGTATTTCAAGTAAAGTTTTTCTTTTCTTTTATTTCCTTTTTTTTCTGAAAAAGAAAAAGAACACACACACACATATAGAAACAGAAACATCCATATAAATAAGGGAAGAGTAAATTATGTTAATCACTGTTCATATAATACCCAGATTTGTTCTAAATAAGTCCTCATCATTTTGTGAATCATCCCAGATAATAAAAAGGTTTACCTTTCCAGTGTATGGCAAGGACCTGTATGTTAATATCCCAAAAATAAAATTCCTGAAAATTTTGTATCTCGATTTTAGTAACAAACTATTTATCTAATATTGTTCAAGCCTTAATATGCATTTGTTAAATTTTTAATACTTAGATTCTCCAAAATTAAAAGCAAAGAAGAGGAAAAAGGAAAAACACAACAAAAAGGTAAAACTAAGATTAATACAGCAGTGAAATGAACAGTAGTGTACATATGATTCATACCCATTTTAAAGGAAAAGCTCGTTTGTTTCATTATTAGTTATATCAAAATTTGTCATTTCTACTTTAGATTCAGACAGAAAATAAATTGCACTCAAAAAAGTATTAATAGTGCTGCTTGGGAGCAACTGCCTCTTAACAGATGTTGGCAACATCACATGGGACAGGTTTACTTTCTTTTTTCTCTCAAATTTTCCCCAACAGCTATCATCATCACTTTGGTCATATAATGGTTATTTGCTTTTCAGTTGACTCAATGATGTACTTGCATAACCAAATTCACAGGAAGTCCACCAATTACATTGAATGAAGTTATTCATACTATGTGACTTGTGTGCCTTTTGTAGTAGGCATCTATCATAGACAGTGTACATCACAAGGCCTCTGGAAAGCAATTTCTCACTACAGTGTATCATGAGAAATAAAGGAAGTCCTATATTTTATTGATATCATTAGGTTACCTTTAATTCCTAGCTCACAGTTAAAAGAGTTTGTCTGGGAAGATATTGAGCATCAAACTGGTACCATATTATTATTTCTTATAGATTGAGAGGTTTAAGAATCCCATTCCCCCAGTTAATTTGTTGTTTGTTAGATTTATATCTATCTTTTGTTCAAGAGCTAAAGGTGGCATGCACAGTGCTCTCTTGTTCTGTTTTTCTCCATAACAACAATCCTATGAAGCAGGTTGGGCTGAGAGAGAGTCATTGGTTCAAAGCCACTTGCCCTTTCTTCTTTTTCATTTTGGAACAAATGGAAATGCCAGAAAGAGCCTGGGAATAATATCAAGGGACTACAAAGAGCTAGGCAGAAAAGCAAAAGAATTTGGTGTACAGATGATGTTTTCATCCATAATTCCAACTGAAGGTTATGGCCTAAAGAGGGAATGGAGATTCTAGAGGTGAACTGCTGGCTTCAAGAATGGTGTCATCAAGAAAACCTGGATTCCTGAACCACCTGCGGGAAGGGCTGTACCTTGCAAAGACTGGGAGGAATGGAAGACATCTTGCTTAGGTCATCTAGTGGGCTTTAATTTAAACCTGTAGAAGGGAGGTCTAAGGGTACACATTATACTTGAAGGGCTGTCACAAGGAAGAGAATGTAGATTTATTCTTCATAGTGCCTGAGAGTAGGTCAAGAGTCTGTGGGTGGAAGCTTTACAGAGGGAGATCCAAAGTAGAAATAAAGAGGAATTTCCTGGCCACCTGCCTCCTGGAATCTTAGGTGCTCCATCACTGTAGGTTTTCATAGAAAGGTTGGACAGCTCTTTATGTGGGATGGTCTGAGGATTCCTGGCCTGGGCTATAGGTTGGGCTAGAAGACTTCCAAGATAGCTTCCAAATCTCTGATGCTCTGTGCTCTGTGGCTCAGGGTTGATTTGAATCTGGGTCTCCTGGTACTCCCCATCGCCTTAAACACTATATCACACTCTGTCTTTAAAAGATAAGTAATTAATCGGTCAGATTCATATAATAACTCTGGAACTTATGTGAATATGTTTCAGTTTTCTGTGGCCCCTTTCTAATTCAATTTTTATATTAGCAATATTGTCCTCACTATCAAGTTGCATTGTTTTTTCCTTATTTGAGGAAAACTTCTAAATTGATATGGGCTGGTGATAGGCACTTAGATTTTGTCCTAAGGTAATTGTCAGGCTCTTCCCCCCACCCCTCAAGTCCTGCTGTGCTGCCTCATCATGGCAAGGGGGTGTTTCTGGGAGGATGAATGAAGAACATCAGGAGTATATGCCAAGGGTATATATTCCCAGCAGGGTCACCCAAGGCATGAAGGGCTGCCCAGCTAAAGCAGGCACCTATATTGGGCAGCAGTGATACAGGAAGATGCTGGAGGCAGATGATCACTTTACTGACAATGACAAAAGCATGAATTCATACTGCATGGGAGAAGACAGTGGTAAACCACTCCTGTATTTTTACCAAGAAAATCACATGGATAAGCCCGGATATTCCCTATGGAAGCAGAAGTTGGATAGGAAGAATATTGATGTTTTTGAACATTGGTGTTTGAGAAGACTCCTGAGAATACCATGGACAGCCAAGAAAACAAATGCATCATCGAACACATCAACCCAGAGTTCTCACTCGAGGCACAAATGAACAAGCTCAAATTATCCCACTTCAGACACATTATGCAAAGACTTAG